CTCACTCACCACCCCCTCACTCACCACCCCCCTCACTCACCACCCCCTCAACTCACCACCCCCTCAATCACCATCCCCTCACTCACCACCCCCTCAATCACCACCCCACTCACTCACCACCCCCCTCACTCACCACCCCCTCACTCACCACCCCCTCACTCACCACCCTCTCACTCACCACCCTCTCACTCACCACCCTCTCACTCACCACCCCCTCACTCACCACCCCCTCAATCACCACCCCACTCACTCACCACCCGCTCACTCACCACCCCCCTCACTCACCACCCCTCACTCACCACCCCCCTTACTCACCACCCCTCACTCACCACCCCCTCACTATCACCCTCACTACCCCCCCCCCTCACCACCACCCTCACTACCCCCCCTCAACACCCCCCTCACCCCCAACACGGCCTAGAACGTCAACTCCGTCCACGTCTCCACGTCAAGATGAACCTCGCTCGCTGCCGCCCGTCCATCTGAGAGCGGCGCAGATGAAGTCGCGTGTCACGTGACCGGCGTCTTCAGAGGCGCTGCCTCTCAGGGTCCCCCACTCGCAGGAGCGAGGGGCCCTCAAACAATTGTGGGTCGCCAGCAAATGTTGATAGGAGCACTCTCAATTGTGAAGCGGGGCCCCGTACAACACAATAATGCAATAGCCCGCAGACTAGTAATAGGTTTTTACCCTTTCAACTGGTACAAAAACTGACACCTTTATACAAGGCATCATGTTTGCAATAAAGGTGTCAGTTTTTGTACCAGTTGAATGGGTAAAAACCTATTACTATATTTTGCCACTGGTAAAGGAGGTCTCATAGCCCGCAGACTCTAACGTGGCGTCGTTCTATAGCATTGTTTAATGAATAGACCTCGGTCTGTCCACGTGGACATGAACTGAATTGGCCCGTGTAGCTCATCACCAATGTTACCCAGCAGCATGGAGAGGCCAAACTCGTCTTGAGAGGCTGACGAGTCCTCTGGAAGGTCAAAAGCTGTTGAGCATTTTTCTCGCTTAAAACAAATTCCGCTGGGGCAGGGGTCGTCAATCACAACAACAACAACAAGAGACATTTGTTTCGAATTCGATACGAAAACAACAACTCAACATTTCAATCTTGATTTGAAGCTTTCGTGACTGCAGCAATCCATACTCTTTGGTTCTTTCGGTAAAGTCACAAAATAAAATATTTCAAGAGCGGCAAATGCCACGCGGTCGGTACGAGGTGGTGGCCATCCTCGATCAATGACGTCACGAAGCAGCAGCCCTCAACTGGACTCCCATGGTGAACTGGACTCCCATGGTGAACTGGACTCCCATGGTGAACTGGACTCCCATGGTGAACTGGGCTCCCGTGGTGAACTGGACTCCCATGGTGAACTGGACTCCCATGGTGAACTGGGCTCCCGTGGTGAACTGGACTGCCATGGTGAACTGGACTCCCATGGTGAACTGGACTCCCATGGTGAACTGGACTCCCATGGTGAACTGGACTCCCATGGTGAACTGGACTCCCATGGTGAACTGGACTCCCATGGTGAACTGGACTCCCATGGTGAACTGGACTGCCATGGTGAACTGAACTCCCATGGTGAACTGGACTCCCATGGTGAACTGGACTGCCATGGTGAACTGGACTCCCATGGTGAACTGGGCTCCCGTGGTGAACTGGACTCCCATGGTGAACTGGACTCCCATGGTGAACTGGACTCCCATGGTGAACTGGACTGCCATGGTGAACTGGACTCCCATGGTGAACTGGACTCCCATGGTGAACTGGGCTCCCGTGGTGAACTGGACTCCCATGGTGAACTGGACTGCCATGGTGAACTGGACTCCCATGGTGAACTGGACTCCCATGGTAAACTGGACTCCCGTGGTGAACTGGACTCCCATGGTAAACTGAACTCACATGGTCAGGGGTGGGCAACCCACATAACAAGAAGGGTCATTGTGTTTTATTTATTTCAGAGAGCCGTGCTCTGCAGTCCTTAAAGAGCCACCGCACGCGGCCCAGAGCCGCAGGTTGGCGACCCCTGCACGAGACAATATTGTTCTTGAAAGCCCCAAGCTGATGGACTAAAACATCGTCTGTTTTACACATATATATATAGACATGGCCAGTCACTTGATTTCTTACCCTAATGCTCCACAATAAACACGCGCCCAGTTGTTTACGCTCGTCCGCAGTGACCCGTGTCTCTGTTGCACAAGTGACAGTAAATATCCACGGACTCCCTTTCACCGTGACACAAGGAACATTGACTGGAGTCATTCAGCCCTGCGTACGCTTTGGCTGATGCCCACTGGACTCTGTCATCCTTCTTGGTAAACACGCAACACACGCACACGCACACATGCGCGTGTGTGTGTGCGTTCAGTAACCTTGCCGTGCACAGTAGTTCCTGGGTAAACACAACAACAACAGCAGCAAGCTGGGCATGCAGACCCTGGCAAGAGCAGGCCCTGGCAAGAGCAGGCCCTGGCAAGAGCAGGCCCTGGGTGGTGCAGGCCTTGCAAAGTGCAGTATCCTTGCCAAAGGCCACCTTGGAGAGAGGCCTTTGCAATAGCGCAGTCAGATCGCAATGAATGATTGATTCCACATGCTCGCTGTGCTCACACGTGGTACGTAAAGGACAGCCTTGATCCTCTCCATTTGAAACAACAAATCTGAGAGTGCCAGAGAGTTTCAGAACACCCAGGAGGAATTATTGTTTTTTGGAAAATTACGTTAAAAAGTGTCGCTCACTTCGCGTTCAGCGCGGATGCAGAACACGTGGCCACACCAAGAGCTGACAGACACGAGGAAGAAGCAGCACTCCACGTACGTCGGCGGAGGACGTTACTCAGAACCACGTATCTCAGGACCAATCAGCAACGTTGCTTCAAGAGTCACTGAAGCGTGACCCTGCCCGCACGAGCATCGTGACCCAGCCCGCACGAGCATGACCCTCGTGAGCAGTCAATGGCGAGGATGCCACCTTCCCGTTAGGTTCCGATTCCTGAAAATTTGCGGACTGCAAAATAACCCTGACGCAGCCCCGATGAAGACTGCAGCTGTTTGCTTGCCAGTGTTCTGAGGCAACCTCAATAGGTGAGGCCTCAACATTATTATTTATTATTATTTATACTAGTATACCCAGGATACCCTCACCGAGTCTCATGATTCTTTGTCAGGGGGGTCCTGCCAAGTTTTGCTGCTGTGTGTTATTCCAAGTGAGTCATTTGCAGGTCATTTTCAGCATGGGGGATGTTTGGTCAATACCAGTTAGAGAGATATTTTTGTGTGTGTTTAGTTTGTTGTCCTTCCTGCGATGAGCACGGTTGGCTACGTAGGGTGCGAAAGAAGTTCTACATATGCTGTCTGGGCTCTTTGTTATTGGAGTAAAGTATAGAATCCGAAGGAAACTCACGTGGAACAAGGGGGAGAACATCCAAACTCTAGCGTCGGAGTTGGGAATCGAACCCAGGCCCTTCTTGCTGCGAGGCGCTCGTGCCACCAACGGCACTGCCATCAGCTTGCCAAGCGGCACGCCACCAACCCAGTGGCACGTGCACGGCACGCGGAGCGACCGGTCGCAGCGACGCGCACATCTTGAGCCGGGAGCGCCGCTGGATCTTGTCCAATCCCTCTTCTGAGTAACTTTCTCGGGAACATCTGTGCTCTGATGGTCCGCTGATTGCGCGGGCGGTGTTTGGTGTTTGGCAGCGGGGGAGCGATGCGATTTGAGGAGAGCTCAGCGATGCACGCGTCTGAAGTTCGGCAGCAATAAGTTTATAAATACGAACCTCACGAAGAAACAAATCGTCGCACTGGAGCAAATCGCGCGCTCGCGCACCGGAGATCCGCATTCCGCGACTTCGCGAGGAATGCCAAGGGAAGGGAACGTTTTGGGGCGACGTCTGAACGTTTGTTTTTGACGTCCAGTCCGTCACGAAGGCGCCGCGCTGATCACGCGACACGGCCTGAGCTGAATAACGACACCGTTTTGGGTCTGCCGCAAAACCGGCTCGCGCTCAGATGATGGATCAAGAGCATCTGCCCGTCAACTGCTCCCACATCCACTGCGAGCAGACGGTGCGCAGTAGTAGCAGCAGTAGCATTATTATTGTGGTTAATAACAAACCGCAGTGATAACCAGCGCAGCCGCTGGATCAGAACCGTGAAAATCTGCAACGAGCGGCGAACGCAGCGCTACCGCTGGGCCACGTGACTGCCCCTTGAGTAGTGGGTCTTGAGCTTCGCGTCAACGAGACCGATGAGTGTCATTCGCTAAACTCACCAGAACCAGGAGTTGGAAGAGAAGTCTACGCTACTCAACGCAAAGTTTCCCCTACGCGGAAGCCTCGCCGCGTCCCAAGGCTTCGCCAGCTGAAACTGGGCTGCATTCTACGTGTCTGTGCACGCGTGTGCGTGCGCGTCCCTGCGCCAGAGACGCACACGCGTGCGTAAAAGTCCGGCTCGCTAGCGTGAGCGCCATCGCCTCCTTTTCTCTTCCAGAGCTCACGACTGCGGCATCGGGTGCAGCGGCCAGCTCGCGACCCCCTCCGTCGTACGCACCTCCGATCGGCGCGGTCGGCTGCGTACGGTGCGAAAGAGGTTCAGCGTACGCACGTACACCCTCAGAGACGCGTGGGCGAATTGCAGAGCGCCGCCAACAGCACAGAGCCCATTTCAGTCGTGGTGCCACGTCGCGTGCTTTCGGCACGGGGCCGGGAGCGCAAGCGAGGGCTTGTGGGTTGGCGTGCGGTGTTGTGGAGTGCGCTGTGGCGTGGTGCAGTGCGGCGTGTTGTTGTACGGGGTGTTGTGTGGTTCGCTGGCGTGCTGCGTGGTGTGCACGTGTTTACGATGAACTTCTTTCGCACCGTACGTAGGCAACGGTGCTAATCGGAGGTGGGGAGGGGGACAACAAACTGCGGTGCGATACGGCGCAGTGCTGTGCTCTGCGGTACAGCACGGCGGCGTACCGCGGTGTGTTGGTGCGGTGCCGCGTCGTACCGTGCACGGAGGTGACGGTGCGTGACAGCAGGAAGCGGAGCGGCGAGCTGGACGTCTGCAGCAGCTGCTGGGCGTCGCGGGCCCCGGCCGCCGCGAAGGCGTCCTCCATGCGGCGCGTGCAGCACGAGGCGCCGCGCACGCTGCACACCTGCAACTCCGCACCTGCACGCGGCGGGCAGCACGTTCAGTCAGCTCTCCCACAACGCGAATTGGATATCGCGCGATCAATGTCTTTCGCGGAACGCATTTTTTTTATGACGCGGGTGGGAATTGGCAGCGACGCGATCGAGCGAATGGAGCTACATCGCAGCGAGTAGGAACGTGGCGGTCGTGCGGCCGCTTCGGAGTAGCACCACACAAGGCATTGGCACGCTGCTGGATGCTACGAGATGCTACCCGCGCGCCTCAGACCACTGGGCTATACAGATCTCTTTCAGAAGCGACCTGGCCACAAATGAGAGCTGGACAAAGTGGCTTAGCACGCGTGGAAATTTGTAGCAGCCCATTACTCTAAACGCAAGTTGATTCTAAATGTGGAGAGAAGAACCGGAGGACGTGGAGAAACATCCACGCGACCACGGGGAGAGAGAGACATACAAACTCCAAATATACAGCAGCAGGCGTTGCCAGGGTCGGGATCGAACCCACGACCTGCTGTATACCAGGCGAGGTAGTCAACATCTCGCCACCATGACAGATGTATCTGGCCCAGGAGCTGTCCTCTCTCTTCCCTACTGTGAAGGGCACAGGCTCGCTCTTCCAAGCGTGACAGCTGGAGATTGGTGACATCTGGAGAAGAACGTGTGCCGAGGATCAGGACGCAGTGGCACCCAAGCGACACGCGTCTCGAGTATTGGGCTGCTATCAATGTCCACGTGATGATAAGCCACTTCGTTGGGCCATCATTTGTGGCCAGGTCGTTTCTGAAAAAACGCTACGTAGCTCAGTGGGTCTTACCTGGTAAAATACAAAGACAAACAACGCTTTAGAGTTTCAATAATTTATAGGCTAAATAGGCTACACCTGTTCACGTGTCATCGGGGCCAAAATGGGCGCCGTGAACTTCAGAGCCCAACGAGGCACCACCGGGGCCCTCTGGCCCTTGTGCGTGGGCAGGTGCGTGCTCATGAATATTCATGAGCTCACGGGGTGGGGGGCGGAGGGGGGTGGCGGAGTTGGGGGGGAGGAGGAGAGGGTGGGGGCGGAGGTGGGGGGGCAGAGGAGGGGGGAGGAGGAGGAGGGGGTGGGGGCGGAGGTGGGGGGGAGGAGGAGGGGGTGGGGGCGGAGGTGGGGGGGGGGGCAGAAGAGGGGGTGGGGGCGGAGGGGGAGGAGGAGGGGGTGGGGGCGGAGGGGGGGGAGGGTCCTTCAAGCGCAGCCTCTCACTCACACAGCGCCCGAGGTTTGCGAATCGCTGATTGGACGGTGACGTGGCCGAGCGTTGGTGCGTTTGCCTTTTGGCGTCGTTCTCTGGGCTGACGCTGGCGGTGGGACGAGGCCATCAGGGAGGCCGCTGCTATCTCTGCTGTAGGCCAATCAGCTTCAGGGACAATGCCCAGATAGTATCAGAGCCACGTGCTTGTTTGCGTGTTAACCCCAAGTGATGTGTGTGGTTAATGCAGTATGTTGTTCCCCGTTGGAGTGTCTCTATGTTGTGTTTGAACATCTCAACGCCTCTTGTTTTGTTGCCAGAAAGGGTCAAACGTTTTGTGAAGGTGCGCGGTGTGAAACGTTTCAGGCCACCACCCTACAGAAGGGCGTCTGTTTGCTCCAGCGGCTGCGCAAGATCACGTGGTGTCGCGCGTCAGTGAGTGGCCCTTTGTGCGCACGCCGTCGGCGTCCAAATGTCTCCTAAACTTTGAAAAGCGACGCCTCAGCAAAATTACGCGATGGGAATTGCAGGTGGAGAGATCGTCACCACCACCCCCATCACCACCACCACCACCCCATCCTGACCCCCACCACCACCCCATCACCCCAACCACCACCCCCATCACCACCACCACCCCCATCACCACCACCCCATCCTGACCCCTACCACCACCACCACCCCATTGCGAAAAGTCGGCAGAGGACCCACTCGTGAGGTGTCGTAATCATGAAACACAACTAAGTGACTGAAGCAGAATCAAGCCTTTGACAGAATTAAAGGTCCCCTAATTGCAGTTCTCCCCCCGTGGGTAACTACACCCGGCTGTCCACTCCACACCTGCCCCCCCCTCCGCTTGCCCCCCCCCCCCCCTCATGCACGCACACGATGCCTCTGCGTTTCCTCAAGTCAATAAAACAACGCGTGAACGTGCAACACTTTCTACGCAGGACGAACAGCTGCGCATGATTTTGTGCACCTTGCCACCGGAAAAAAAACATTCTAAACAATTTAAAACCTATTACATTATAAAATAAAAACCAATTACATTATGAATTAAAAAAAACATTACATTATAAAAAAAAATGTAAACCCATTACATATTTTCAACCGCGTTTTCTAAGCACATTCGAGCCGAATACATTAGACATTTAACATGTCAGTGTTCTCCCACGGGCCAACACGCGTGCCATTGCCGTGGTTTGGATATTTAATAGGGACCCATTAGTGTCCAGGAAAGCACGAGTCTCAAAAACTACACTGGGATGTTTGGCCAGTGCCACCAATGAGTGCTTTGGTTTCACGCCGGAGGAGGCCGCAGAACCCGGAGGAAACCCACCACTTGGATGGCGGTCACCCATCCAAGAGTAGCGACTCTGATGACGACGACGACGACCACGTGGTGAGAGGCACTTCATGGGGACGCAGCCACGATACGGGGCCCGAGGCGTCGCGCCGTCTCCAGCTTGTCACTTCCTGCCAACGTCCCCACTCGTGCTCTCTCTCTCTCTCCCCTTTTATATTCCTCGGGCCCCTTTGCTGGAACCTTCTTGTCCTTGGGTTTCCTTGAGACAATCCCAGTCCTTCCCCTACAACGGATACTCTCTGTTCTCCGATCGATCTCGTTCAAACCTGATTCCTCTGATCCCTTTAAAAGTCTGTCTCCCGAACATTCACCGTGGAGGCCTCTTTCTACCAATCGGAGACCTTTATTGATTTTCAAATCGCCGTGAGGCTGCGTATGGGCTTTGGGGATATTTTTCGGTCATTACCCAAGCACTCACCAGGCTCATGCCTGCTTAGCTTCTAAGGCCCAACAAGACTGGACGCATTCACTGCTATCTGGCTGCGAGCAAATACAAACCCTTTAGGGTGAAGAAAATAAACCCGCGCAGAGTGGAACTGTGAACACACCGACATCTTACCCCACAAACGAACGGGGATCATTCCCTTCCCGTCTCACAGCTCAACGGAGCTGTCACTCACATCAGTCTCAATGCCAAGCCACCGTCCCGGGCAGCAAGGCCACAGCCCGCTAGCAGAGCAACATGGCAAGGGCTACATTGCTAATCTGGCGAAGGGAGCTTTGAAGAAAGTTGGAATTCTGCTGTCATATCTGTGATGGAGCACTCAGTTGCAACCCCACTGCACTCAATACAAGAGTATAGCAAGAGTCAGGGTGATGGATGATCCACCACTCACTGATTCACTCCACTAACTCACACGCTCACCGGCGATCAGTCGCCGCCGTTTCACTCATCTATCGCAACTACTGCCACGGTGACTGCTGCCAGGAATTTCACTCATTGATTTCCCCACCCGTTTTGAGGACTCGGTCTAGCAGACACTGACTGGGTTGTCTCGCCCACACTGTGTTTAACTACCACGCTGCAGATCACAATAACACTCATCCAATTATTCACCCACCCACCCACTCATCCACCCACCCACTCACCCACTCACCACACTGCAGATCACAATAACACTCATCCAATTATTCACTCACCCACCCACTCATCACACTGCAGTTCACAACAACACACTCACTCCCCCACCCACCCACTCACCACACTGCAGGTCACAACAACACACTCACCCACTCACCCACCCACTCACCCACTCACCCACCCACTCATCACACTGCAGGTCACAACAACACACTCACCCACTCACTCACTCACCCACCCACTCACCCACTCATCACACTGCAGGCCACAACAACACACTTACCCACTCACCCACCCAATCACACTGCAGGCCACAACAACACACTCACCCACCCACTCATCACACTGCAGATCACAACAACACGCTCACTCCCTCACCCACCCACTTATCACACTGCAGGTCACAACAACGCACTCACCCACTCACCCACCCACTCACTCCCTCACCCACTCACCCACTCACTCCCTCACCCACCCACTCACCCACCCACTCATCACACTGCAGTTCACAACACTCCTCTTTCTGCTTCTTCCGTCGCACCGATCGACTTTGGAATTCCACCTTTTCCCGAAGCTCGTACACTGATCACCTCAATACAATGCACGTGTTGTTCCACTCTTCTCTATTACAACTTTTCCGATCCCGCACCCACTGTGCAGTCAACACCGACCACCAGTCCCAAACAAAGTTTTCATCAGCGTCGTATGAATGAGCTCTTCCCATCCTCGCAGCAGCGGCTTTTGACTAACCACGGAACAAAGGCGGCGATTCACTGCATCGCACGGCGCTTTCAGATGCGCTTCTGCGGCCGTCTGGAACGCTCTTCCTTACGATATTAGGACGCCGCTGGAGCTTTGCACTTTTAAATCATCCAGATTGAAAACTAATTTCTTTAAAACTGCTCAGTGTGTTTAGTTTGTTGTCCTTCCACCGCACCTCCGATTACCACGGGTGGCTACGTACGGCGCAAAAGAAGTTCGACATGCATACATGCGTAGTGACATGGAATGGGTCACTACGGAGCAGGGAAGGGGATCTGCAGCAGCCCTGTCTGTCAGCAGGTCACGTGATAAGCAGAGGGAGGGATGCAGGGTAAAGGTGACAGAGGGGCCACGTGAGGCGAGCCCGGGAGCCCGCGAGAAGGTTCTAGAAAGGGGGCGTGGCCGTGGGCGGAGCGAGGCCACGCCGGGAGGATAAAAGGGGAGCCCGAGGGAAGGCTCGGGGCTGTCGCTGTGAGTGGGATCCCCTCGTCGTGCTGCTGGAGTCTTCGTCTGCGTCTTCACCTGCTCAGCATCGTCAGTCAGGCAGTCTGCCAGCTGCCCTGCCTGGGAGCTGTAGTTGCTTATCG